TGCTTGTCTTTGTTCTTCTTGGACATTTTTTTGGGGCAAAATTGTAATTTTTTGATAGCATATTGAGCATATCGACATTTACAAAGATGTTTCGTATGCTTTTTGATGATGGGGAAAAAATCAAGTTCTGGTAGCCCAATCCTTCAGGTAAATTGTTCAACGAAGGATTCAAACGGATCTCACGGGTTCTAGGAAATTAGACGATGAGCAAACAAGACGGATGCTACAAAAACGAAATTAAATAGAATTTCTTTTACAGATCTGGCATTTTAGACGTCACTGCTATGAAAAGGAAAGAGCCAACAAAATTAATTCTTAAGAGTCAGGTTTCACAAATGCAAAAAGAACATAAAATGACAATAGCTAAAAACTTCGAAGGAACTATTTTGAAACTTTGAATTTTTGGCCACTAAAATTTAATGGATGTCTGCAAACAATTTTGTTTTTCTCACGCAATTTGTCTGCAAATAAATTTAATCTCTCTCACTTTCGTCTAATTTCTCACTTTTGCAAAAACCTCTAACTTTATTTTTTAGTGCCTCCAACTTATTTGATTGTCGTCCAATTTCTCAACCCCGGATTTCACGACAGAAAAATATCGACTTTAATTGCTAGAAAATTGATGGCGCAAACAATTCTACATAATACTCATGGTTTTTTGGTCAAACATAAACGCCAGAAGGCAACTGAAAGCCTTTTGTTTGATAGTATAGATTAATACTTGGTCTTTTGTTCGATAAACGTGTACAATGAATAGACAAAAAGGATATAAACCGACTTATAATAATTTAAATCTATGGTATTATTTTATAAAACCCCATGAAAATCAAAACAATGAAAATTCGCCAAAAGGGATTCATTAAATTTGAGCTGAAATTTTCTTTCAAAAAACATCGATTATAAATCCATTCAAATCAACTTTTTTAGGTCTCCGCTGAACTATCTGCATAAATCGATCGCAAACCTTTTTTTTATCAGTACGGGTCGCTTGTAGGAGGCTCAGATAACCTCCTAAATTGGACTTAAGGCCAGCTAATTGGTGTGATTGATACGTTACTAGGTGAACGTTACAAGTTAAAATCTATGACGTGCTGGTCTAAATTTGCCACGATATTCGAATATATACAAGGTTTAAGTCAACAAAAATACATTACAATCGCTTTTCTCCCATTAAACCTCGGTGCGGGAACAACATTGGACGCAATGAACAACTTCAGATTAGAGCGTGGTATTGTTAAGCTTGCCGATTAAAAAACAAGAGGAATTTGAATTTTTGACCTGATCCCTCTAGTTTTTCGTAAATACGAGTAAAATTGAATATAGAAACGATATATCAGCAGCAAAAACGTATTTTTAGGGAAAAGAGTATAAAGCTATTTTATATCATTTTGTTCGTTCTGTTTCTGTGATGTTCCATGGTATAGGAAGAAAGTGAGGAAGACCCAAGTTCACACCCGTTTCATCGTGTGCTTTGTGCTTCCCAGGATACAACACATGCTTTTTGTCTCTGCCCAAAAGAGCGCCGAAATCTCCGTAGCTTCCGTACGATAAAATCAGAACTTCACTCATCGCAAGTAAAGCCAAATCAATACCTAGAAAATAAACAAATTTGTAAACAAGAAAAGGACACAAACCAAACTTTTTGTATAAAAACAGTTAATAAACAAAGCGAAAAATAGGTTTTGGCCTCAAATCGCATAACAGAAATTGTATAGAATACTACTGGCTACTCTCTTTGTAAGCAAAAACTGATTGAAAAAAGCGGAGAGGTGAAATACTAGGAAAGTTTTAGGGACCCATAACAAGTAAATACCATAACATGTTTATTGGGCAATTTTTTCAGTTCTTTTTACTTTTTCCGCTCAATATCAAATTTTCAACATCCTTCAGCTTATAAGCTGCTAGTCTGTATTTTGATTGACTGCAATTGGCAAACAAGCGAAGAGTTACAGTTTTTGCTTTTGTCATTAAACAGGTACAGAGACAGCCAAAGAAATTATACTATACAGTTTTTGTCTGGAACTTAGAACAATTTGTGAATTTTGTACCACTTTCTGACATATAATACCAGGTACTTTTTATAAATTTTTCTGCATCAAAACAAAAACTTATCTTTGCATTTATTCGATGTATAGAATTTTGTTGTTTAGGACGCTAGTTTAGGACACTGAGTTAAAAAATGGCTAAAAAACTTGAGCCAATAATTTTATTTCAAGAAGCCGACAATTTTTTGTTTCGATTTCATGCTTTTTACGTAGAATCTAGTACGACGGACTACAAAGAATACAAATTGGATTCTACGTAAAAAGCGTGAAATCGAAACAAAAAAATTGCAACGGATTACAAAGAATACAAATTTGGGCGGAATAAGTAGAAAATCGGATGGGTTCCATTTTCAAAATCACACGATTCACAGAACCTTTCAAATATTTTTCAGACTAGATCGAGGCCGCTTCTTGTTTTGGGGAAGATCATGATACCAATAAGGGAAGCATGGATTTTAAACAGGACTGGTTGTTCAGGTAAAATAAATTGCAATAAAAAGACCTTAAAATAAGAACAAAAGTTGAGCACCACCAACCAGGGCGGATCTAGAATTTTCTCGAGGGGGGGGGGGGCGGATTTTCAAAAAATTTTCCAAAATTTTGACGACCTTTTTTTTTAGGTGGACCAAATTGATTTTTCGAGCTCTCCCAAAGCATTGTTTTGCCCCTGTTTTGGCAAAATTTTCTGCGCCGCGGGCAAATTTTTGAAAAAACAGTCAAAAAAGCCGTTTTTGGGCACTTTTTGAAAAATTTTGACAAAAAAATTGCGTTTTTTTTGGCGCGCGCTCCCCCTCAAAGTTAGTATATATTGGCGCCAAAGGCGCCTTTAGAAAAATTTTAGGGTCGGTCGGTCAAAAATGGATTTCTGAAAAAGTATCAAAGGGGTGA